AGAATTTAAAATATTAAAAACATTAAGATGAGATCACTGTAAAAACTAAACCAAATTTAATAATTTGGAAATTTAAACACTTTACTCAAATATACTTTACAAGACTAAATTGTTTTACAGCAACTACTATCATATATTTTAAGCTAGAATGGTGTAAATTTAAACAATTTGAATATACATAATATTTAACTAGTTTCTTTAAAAAAAATATACTTATATACATTACGAACACAATAATTAGGTACAAACAATATCAAATAATTTAATTAAAAAAAAAAAAATATACATGAATAGTTTTACAATCAAATTTTAAATAATTGGATATAATTGCTATTAGATGCTTTTTATTTCGTAAATTAACAACGGATCCCAGGGTAAGGAAACAGTTTTAAAGTAATATCTAATATCTTAAATATGTCGGTGATATGTCTATGATGAATTGTAAACTATTAGTTTCAACACAATAATTGGTACAATATAATTTAGAAGTTTAAGTTTTTCAAAAAGTAGACAATACCTGTAAAATAATAAAAAACAACCAATATTAAATTAATAAATTCAATAATCAAAGGTAATAAGCTTATAACTTTTAGTTTAAAAGGTTATTAATTGATATTGATCATGTTTTTTATTTAATTTGGGAATTAACTGTTAAACTATTTAAACTAAAAAATGTTTAAGAAAAATTTTAAAATATCTCACATTATTTAATAATTATACACCATGGAAGTTACCTAATCAATCATTCTTCCCATTATACAATTTTTCAGGAATCAAAAATGATAAGATGTATTGCTGACAATCATATTATAAAAGTGTGTCACATTCTGCTTACTAATAAAATGTTTCAGACTATAAGTATAAAATTAATTGAAACCTCAAAAGCACACTTCAGAAAGTGATATGTAAATTAGTAAATTTAAATTATTTTCTTAAATAATTTATAAATTCAAWATTATTATAAAATTTAAATCCTTCAACGCTTCCTTCAGTTTAAAGTATACCATAGAGAATACGGGTTGTTTAATTATTCAATAATTACTTTATAAATCTTAAAATTACATATTATAA